TTTTTTGCAGATATTAGGTAATGCTAACAGGAGACTCTCTAGTCCCACACAAAGCTACGTGAAGAATCGGTCAGACTTTCATTTGTAAAAGAGCAGACACGAAGCACAAGCTCAGGCTTGACGTAGCCCTTGGTCTCGTTTTTCCAAAGCCTCACTTGTCTGTGATTTCAAGCCCGATTTTCTGTGCAGCCTGCGTAAAAAATGCACCTGGATGCTGAAGTGTTTTCCCATTTGTCTGTCAAGTATGTTCTAGACCAAAAATGGTACCTGTGACTTCTACATATGGTTTTGTTCCTGTCTAATTAAGCTGCATAAATTATAGTGCAATAGACGCAAGTGCTTCATTTGAGGGGAAATGAAGTGAGAAACACTTCCGTCTTGGTGTATCCGTGAGAAGCGAGAGTGCTCATCAAATCAGTGTCAGTTCTTGCAGAGTGGGGAAGCCTTATGACTCCAGCAGAGTGTGTTCAGAGGGCTTTCAGGTAAACTTTTCCCATCTCGAAAAGTTAACAGTTCTGAGGACTGGGCCAGCAGCTCGCCATAGCCTAGTGCGTTAGTTTTGGTCTCAGTGCTTTGTTAAAGTATTGGAAAGAAAGCTTTAAACACTTTCAATTGGCATCTCAAAATGGTGTGCCTTTATGGGGTACTATGGCCTTTCAATGCATGTAAGCACTGGGGGCCGGGGAGGCGGCTCAGTAGAATAAGAGCTTGCGTGGCAAGCGCAGGGCCCGAGTTCAACCCCCGGTTCCGCCAAAAAATCAGAAACAAAACAAAAAACAAAACCATGTAAGCACTGTACAGTGTTCAAACAAGGTAAGCATGTCTGTCTCCTCAAACATTTATCTTTTCTCTGTGGTGCAAACAGTCATTGTACTTTCTTCTAGCTTTTGCTGAAGCATGTAATATGTTGGCATTTTGTATGGTCGGGCTATTATGTAACAGAACGCCAGAACTGACGTTTCCAATCTAACCATAACTCAGTAGCTCTTGACCAGCCTTGTCTTGTTGCTCCCTTTCTCTACTTCTTCCAGCTTCTGGGAACCCCTATTTTAATCTCAATTTCTGTGAGATCCATCCTTTAGATTTTACATGTGAGTAGTATCATGCAGTATTTTGCTTCTTGTTCTTGGATTATTTTATCTAACATAATATATTTTAGCTCTATCCGTATTGTTGCAAATGATAGGAATTAATATATTTTTATGGCTGAATGGTAATCTATTATGTATGTAAACCACAGCACCAACAGCAAATAGTTTAGTAGAAGTTTAAGATATGAATCTCTGAAGGGATCATTAAAAATGTGGGCAAAGGACATATAAAAAGCCAATAAATGACTTAAAAAAGAATACTAAATTTAAAAAGGTCATGTAAAGACATTAAATGTTTTCTTGTTGGGGCCAGGGAGATGGATCAGTAGGATAAGCGCTTGATGGCAAACTCAAGGATCTGAGTTCAATCCCTGGTTCTGAAAAAAAAAAAAAAGTTTTCTTGTTAATAAAGAAAGGCAACAAAATTCACCACAATATTAAAAGACCCAGAAAAGATAAGTTAAAAACACTAAAGGTCATCACATCAGGAAGTATATTGAATAGAAATGAATTGAATATTTTAATCATAAGATAAATGATTATGACACTGGCATGAATAAAGGCATGAATCAAGTATACACTGTCTTCCAGGGGTGCATTTAAAATAAAGAGGCATGGGGCTGGCCAGATAGTTCAGTGTAATAAAGCACCTGCTTAGGCAGACACAGGGACCGGAGTTTGATCCCCCATGTTCTGTGTTGGCCCCACCCCCAGGACATACTGAGATGGCGAGTGAGACTGGGTGTGGTGGCACACACCTGTAATTCTAGTACTTGGAAGGCTGAAAACAGGAGGATCACTACCAGTCTGACCTGTGTAGTGAGACCCTGTAGACCTTGTTCTACATACATTAAAAAAAAAAAAAATACAAAGGCACAAGTGGACTGAAAATAAACACTTGGAAAAAGATAATATGATAATAGTGATAACAGGATCTATAATAACAATGAAGATAAAATGGAAAAGCAAGTGGCATTAGCTGTCATAATATTAAAAAATAGATTTCAAGATTGAGGGATACTTCAAATGGTGAAGGAGGCAGTACATTAGGAAGAAATTACAATTTTTGAATTTGCACTTACACCTAACATCATATTCAAAACATGTAAA